TTGACCAATCACATAAAAATTGCAAAATATTAGTGGTCACACAATATTCAATAAAGTTAAAAAGTATATAGTATTGTCAAAACAATTTACATTTTGAAACCAAAAAATAATTAAAATAACTTATATTTTGAAACGGAGGGAATACAATTTTGAAAGATATATAGTTTATGAAATCGATTAAATTAAATAAATAAAGAACGGGTTATTTCGTGACAAAAAAAAAACGCGTTATTTCGCTTCACAGTCCGAAAAGCAAGATAAATGCAACATGCCATAAATGAATAAAATAATCCAACAATGCATAATCCCTCTTAAGTAAATAAATTCACATATGTGACATCAGATTTTGGCAGGTACAAGCTCAAAATAGAAAACATTCACACGAGTATCACAATAATTTGACAAAAACGTTGGCTACAAAGATATAACAGGTTTTACTATAGCTTACTTTTGGGTTTAGTGAAATATCACTGTATTCTAGACTGTTAAAATATATTTAACTTTTATCATGCCATACTAAGTGAAAATATGGTGGTGTTAATGTCTAGAATAATTTTAGAGAAAATTCAAAAAATGCCATTTTTCAAATGTCATTTTACAAAAATGTCATATTTTTAAAATCTTTACAAAAATGCCACTTTTTCAAAATTATTTTTTTTATATTATTTATGTTTAGGTTAATTATGTTCTATTAAAATTTAGTTTTGAGGGTTTAGGAGGGGTTTAGGGATCAAAACATTTTGTAGTATTTTAAATTTTAAGATATAGGATTTAAAAATTTATAATTAGTGGCATTTTTGCAAATGAACACTCGTAAGTGGCATTTTTGTAAATGTGCACATAAAAGTGACATTTTTACAATTTCTCCATAATTTTATCATTATGAAAAACTTATACCGCTAAATTAGACAAAACCACGATATTCATTTACGAAGTTTAAGTTTTATAGATATATAATTTAAAACTAAATAGAAAATGAGTAGAATGATTAATTTTCTTTATTTGATATGAAATTTTTTACACACCTTCTCGAATTCATGATTTTTCTGTCATATTTCCAACCAAAGTTTACTCTAAAATCGATAATAAATTAATTCAAATCAGTAATGGATCGAGGTAAAATTCAGACTATGATTCTACATTAATTTTTATATACTTTTAATTTAAAGTTAATTAATAATAAATGAATTAGTCTACGTATTTATATAC